AATCCGTGATAATAAGTGAGCGAAAGGCTACAACTTTGCGCTGTTTCTCAATATTCTTAATTTTATTACGACGTTACATGTTATTATTGAGAAACACACGAATGAATGAATGAATCTTTCCAAACCTTTCTAATACCGTTTTGAAATATTTAATTTAAGAGCACAAACGGTTTGAAACTTTACAGTTTGAGAGAACGGTTTTGCGAACGAGATGATAGTGGTTTTCGTTTCTTTTTTTTTTTTTTTTTTTTTTCCCCCTATTCATAAATGCAAAGGAAATTTCTCATTTGCATCACTCTTTAACACGGTACAAATCACGTTCTCGTAATATTAAACTCAACAACATCGTAACTTTCACGTATAGTTGCAGTAGTCGGCTCGTTTCGAGATTCCTACGTAGAACGGAAAGCAATATGAATGGATGAGAGGTAGGCAGTCACCGTTAAACCCTCGCAGCAGGATGCATCTTTTGCCCGTAAGTTAAATAGACTGCATTTCACCGGGAATTTCTCGACCGTGTTGCCAGATTTTCGTATCCATCCATTTTAAAATATGAATGAACACACAAATTTTGAAATAATCATCAGAGATCACGAAATTAACGATCCTTAACGAGACGAGATCGTTAAATTTCCCTATGCGCAGAAATTACGTTATCCACGATACTTGTTACGCGGCAAAATGTTGGCGGCAAAGTTTATGAAGTATTCATAGAGAGGCAGAGACGAGGACGAAGTCAGAATAATCGTGGAATGTCGATGGAGCACAATTGGCTTTTTGTGCGCGCTTAGATTCGGCGGGTGTATCATTTCATTAGCCCATTAACAATTACGGTTAAGCCCAGTACACTTAGGCTCGTGTCTACAACCAACTGTGAATGCGTTCCTTGTAATTGAACTACGTTAGTTCGCTCTCTTTCTTGCTTTACCGGACACGTGGGTCTGATGCCCTTACTTAGAGATTGATAATGGCGTTCCCACTGATTCCAAACAACCAATTTCACGCGATCTGCCTATATAATTAACACATTATCTTTATTGCTTTCTGATTAAACCATATACAGTAGAGATGATAACATCCTTAC